AGTTATGGAGAGATCTGCAGATTCCTCTTCTTTTGGGGGTTTGTAGGTGCCCAGATGAGGCTTAGCTGTGAAGCAGTGCAATCTGCTGTGGGGCCTTGGGCCTTCTTTTGGAAGTTCTGGGTCTCTCTGACCCAGCTGCAGTTTGTTAGGTAATTTCAGATTACAAAGGGCCAGGGCATTCATTTGCAAAAACCTCTGCTTGCAGCTTGGGTGGGGCGGGGTCTCAGGGAATCATCGGGGCAGACCAAACAGCTATGGCAGATTCTCAGTCCTGCCCTAAGAGGTCCCATGTCTCAGTGTCCCGGTAATCGCTGCAAGCACCTCTGAGAGAAAGCCGCCCCTGAGTTCCGACCGATGCCAGACAGTCCAGTTTCTCCCTGTATGAATCTGGGTCCCCAGAGACTCGCCCGGAACTGGAGTTCAGAGCAGTCAGGAGCTTGAGACTTTCTCTCGATTGAAAAAGAACCGTGTCCTCAGTTGCCAGCCCTTTTCCACATGTGCCTCTGTACCTCTGCACTTTACTTCCGCACCTTCTCTGAGTCTCGGTGTGCTTTTCTCTTTCCTTCTAGTTGTAGAATTTCCACCCAGCCAGCCTTCCTGTGGTTCTGGATGATGACTGTTCCGTCTTTTAATTGTATTTTTGAAGTGGTTATGCGAGGCAGCAATTTCCAGTGTTTATCTATGCCATCATCTTGGTTTTTCAGCATGACACATAGTCTTTAATAGGGAACAAACTGATAGGGATGGAGTTTTATTGTGAGATAAAATTAGACTTTTGGGGAAATCTATGTATTTCTTAACTTCACAGCATTACAGTTAGGTCCCATCTGTGTTTCATTGGTCAAAATTTTGGGATCTACCATATGAGTGACCAATATTTGTAATATCCAAAGCTCTTCTGACTTTAGAACCCCTTGTATTTTTACAAATAGTCAATAAAAAGATGAAGGAAGGTGAATCAAATATTGTTTCTATATTATTTTGTGTTTATGATTGTACTATTAAGCTATGTAATTTTTGATTCATAGTATTTTGGTAAGTTTACCTTTATAAAATAATACCTTATCTACAAGTATTAGGTTTGTTTATGTTTCTAGTGTTAAATTACAAAGGCTGATTTCTTGAAATTATAAAAATAATGAAATACATGTTCCCATATAATTGTTTTATGATTGTTTAAATATTTCTTCCCTGAATTTAGTCAGTTAAGCTTTTTGATCAGTAAATGAAACTTTTTTCCTTTTAGTAAAGTACTCCACTGTATGGGATAGTGCATAAATCTTGGAAGACTGCAGTAAATTGGCAATGTCTCGGGAACCCACCCCACCTCTCCCTGGAGATATGTCTACTGCTCCTATAGCAGAAAGCTGGTGTTATACACAGGTACATGTCATAGAAATGCCTCACTTTATTTGACTTACAAATTTTACAGTATTTTGAGAGTATTATGAAGTACTTTGGTATAGTTCTTAGAAATGTTAAAAGACTGGGTCATAGGATGTTTAACATGTGACAGGTTAAAAGCATAAAGTTCATTATGAAAGTGTTTTTTTGAATCTCTTAGGTTAAAGTTGTAAAATTTTCCTACATGTGGACCATTAATAACTTCAGTTTTTGTCGAGAAGAAATGGGTGAAGTGTTAAAAAGTTCAACATTCTCATCTAGCCCAAGTGACAAAATGAAATGGTAAGATTTTTGTTTGCTTAGAGTTTCGATGTTATCATTGACTAGTTTATTGTTTTGTTGTTACTGTATCTGAACAGATAATAGTCTATTTTACCTCAGATTTCTAAGAATAGTATAGAGAATTGTAAAGAACTAGGGGGGGGATTGAGGGGATATTAACAAATGATTTCAGTATTGCCTCTCTTTTCTGAATGTTTCAAGTGTCATATTCCTCCATGTGAGCCTGTTGTTTTATTTTAGGTGCCTGAGGGTAAATCCAAAAGGATTAGATGATGAAAGTAAAGACTACTTGTCCTTATATTTGCTTTTAGTCAGCTGCCCAAAAAGTGAAGTTCGAGCAAAATTCAAATTTTCCCTTCTGAACGCTAAAAGAGAAGAAACAAAAGCAATGGGTAAGTGATTTGCAAACTGAATGAAGACTCTGTAACTACTTGCTGTGACTTCTGCATGTTTGCCTACAAAGCTTAGGATATATTTTCCCACTAAAGTCTGCTTAACCTAAAACATTTAATTTGACTATTAATTAATTTTAAACACCTGTGTAGAGCTATAGTTTTTTGTAGTAAGTTTTAGACTTCATAGACATGTAAAATTATTTAAAATAATACTAAAATTTAATTTTCTCATGTGCTAAAATGACATTCACTTGTCACTTGAAAACACAGTTGCTGGTCCCATGCCTGGCATATGTAATAGGTGCTCAGGAAATATTTCTTTTCTCCCTTGCTATTTTTGTTAGATAAAATCTGAAGAATATTGGAAAGATTTTTAATGTCTTATTTTGTCCCTAAAGTTTTATTTAAATAATAGACCAGAACATTGACTGAAAGGAAGTCAGTTTTTCTTAGCATTAAGACTTGTTCCCATATGTAACCTGCTGAAATCATGTAACCTGGAGTTTCAAAAGAAGATGTATAATGTGCAGAGTAGGACAATATATCATAACTGCTACATTAAATTTTAAGTGTTTTCACAGAATCAAGTTAACATCACAAAATAACCTCCTCTAAATGCATACTATTTAATATTATCTTTTATTGCCAAAGTAATACAGTGTCACATTATCTGGCATTTAAGACAGTGGAGTGTCTTAGTCCAGGCTGCCATGACAAAATACCACAGACTGGATGGCTTAGAAACAACAGAAATTTATTTCTCACTGACCCTAGAAGCTGGGAAGTCCAAAATCAGGATGTTACCATGGTCAGATTCTGATGAAGATCCTTTTTTTGGGTTGTGGACTAACTAATGTTTTCACATGGAGGAAGTGGTTAGCGCAGCCGTGGGCAAACTACGGCCCGGGCCGGATCCGGCCTGTTTGAAATAAAACTA